TGGCAATTCTCGGCAGGGCCGAGGCTTGTAGGAGTTGACCTGACAAGACGCCTCGGAGGGTTCTGTTCTGCGCCAGAACAGCATGTGTGTTCGCATTCTAAAAATAAGTTATTATATGAATAAGTTATTATATTCTTATATGATCAAGTATACACGTATATGAATTACAAGTAAATAAAGTATCTTGTAGCTCAGTAATAAAAGTAGATCGGTTCGAAATATCTAAAATATCTCAAGCTGTCCTCTGCAACAATGTGCTCGATGCATTAACTTTCATACCGAGTATCTTTTATAATTTAACATGATCTTTCCAAAAACCAGCGTACTTTTATTACCGTAAACTATATTACTATATTACTTTGTTACTGTAAACGCCAGTCACGTGAAATTTACGTGCGTCATCACACGAGACGATTGAAGGAAAAGGAAATCCACCAATTTACTGTTCCTTCCCTTATCTCTTCATACCGTAAAATTTGCAATTTAGCTATTTATTCAAGCGTCCTATTCTGAGCATTATGTTTGAATCTTCTCTGAAGAGGACTTAACTACTCTACACTCTTTATCAGATTTCTAGTTTCACAGGATGAATTTTTACAGGTCAAGAGGCAGGTAGATATATGACATACAAAATACGAGGACATTGAAACATTTGCTGTACTGTTAGATTAATTACGTGAGGAAGAATCTTCATATACTCTTACATGAAAATAGACATAAAGAAAGAAGGAACTAAATTGTTGTAAGACGTTTTTCTTTGTAGAAAATTTAATTAACAGAGAGACTACAATACTATCGCTATCAGAACCCTACAAATCACAAAAGTCATTCGGAAAATAGATATTTATAATTGAGCAACTTCCATTTTTTGTTGCACTGAACATTATACGAATTCTAAGTGCACCGTATCAGCATTCTCGACGTATTTGTGTTTCTCTTTCTCGAAAAAGTCCACCAAATGATCGATAAATTTCCCGTGATACTCGTTAACCTGCTCTTCGGTTGGTTCTTCAATTTTTGGTAAATCCATCGGACTACCGACTGCAAG